CTTCTAAAGCTCTTAGTTGCTTAAATTTGGACAAAAGGGTCTTATCGGCATTGACTCTCACCTGACCTGTCTGTCACTTCCCCTCCAATGTGGGATGAGATTAGACCTTCTGGGAAGAGATTTAGACCTTCTTGGAAAAAGTTCATCCTGGCAATGACAGACAAACCACAGGGTGGTTAATCAGCAGAATCTCTGGCTAGAAATTCTAAACTGTTCAGAGACACAAACAGTTCTGAAGACAACTCTTCAGACAAGAGGGGAAATTGTCAGAATCCAAATGGAGTCAGTTGTACCAACCCTTCCAAAAGTAACCAAAGGCAAGAGGTTGTGATAAAAGGACTTCTTATTGTAAGAAAAACGATCTTTTCTATCAAAGTATGTGTCACCCACTTAGATTTCTTAAAATTCCTCAGGTCGCCATCTTCAGTGACTTGCATTGTTTAAAGGGTTCCTGTTTCTTCTTCCGGATTCTTGTATGGCCCCACTGCCCATGAAAATTGTCTGCCAAATTGCATGCCCTAACCCATGCCCCAAGCCTTTTAGCCAATCGAGAAAGACTGTGAACCTTTGACCTGTACAAGTCCCAGGGAGGGGCAGGTACAACTGTGTCAGGGATATAACGAGGAGCCACTGTCAGTCATTTTGTGCTAGTGTGTCTGCTTAGCTGGAGTGAATATGTGCTTGCACCCTTTTGATAAAAAAAGTTGCCTTATCAAGATTTTCTCTGTCATGTGTTTTCAGCACCGGAGGGTCTTTAATTCCAACATTATGCATGGCTAATGAACACTAAAGCTCTTTCAGGCACCTCTGACAGAAGGCAAACTCATATTTTTGGCCAAAGTCTTCTATTTAAGTAGTGATAAAAATGACTATTTCTACTAGCTCCAAACATATCTTTTTAGTAGTCTACACACATGGAGTTAATTAAAGGAGGATCCCCTGCACAATTTATTTAATTGGATGTCTCCTCATCTTTACTCCGTCTACTGTAGTCTGCTTTATTTCCAGTTTTAGGCTAGAACAAGTACTTTTGACTTACATACTTCAGCTCTATTCCCCTTCTCATGTACTAGTTTGTCATTGCTCAAGAAACCTGCAAAGCCAGATTGGGCAACATTCTAATCCCTTCAAGATTAAGAACACTCAAACATAAGGGGGGAATTATAAAAGGCACTTAAGATGCTTTTTTATGAAAAAGCACTAACTCCTTACTTGGCCCATAAATTAAATAAAAGAAGGAGAAAAGCTTGGCATCCCCTGTCTCTATTTTGTAATTGTTTTTGCTCTAAGTCAATTCTCTCTGTAGTCATTTTTGCAATCACTTTGGGGTTCAGGAAGACAGAACTGATAGATAACATTTGTGTTCATTTAAACTAATTCAGATTTCTGCCTTTGTGACAAGGAAGTTGAACCATGTGCTAGCAATTATTATGGAAGGGTTTTAAGGTACAGAGAAACTAGGGTGTTTGCATTGGAGATCTCTAATGTGATTTGCTTAAGAATGAAAAGTGGTAAGTCTATCTTGTCCCCTAGACTCTAGCTGATCAGTCACTAAAAAGATAAAGGGGGGAGTAACAGGCATCTCTCTTCATTTATGCATACAGCCTGGGCAATAGCCATTAACCAGCTCAAGAAAGAAGGGGTTCACACATCATCGCATAAGTGTAGCATCCATGCCACAATAGATTCCCCAGGCTTTTGCCAAGACTGTTTAGCCAATTCTCTTAAGCCCTCTGGAGGATACTGTACATATGTAGTATGCTTCTTAACTTCTAGGGCTCCCATTTGCCAGCCACATTCATCCAATTGCTGATCATGCTCTAACTGGCATTTAACAATAGGCCAGCTCTTAACATTACTAGGGTAGGAGGAGGTGAGCCACCCAAACTAGAGGCCGCTGGTTAGCTTGGTTGTCTTGGCTTCTAACAAGTCTGTGATGTCCTCATATGGCATATCTGAACTTGTAAAGCCTGTTCCTCTACATGTCTTGTAAAAACAGCTATGCCACCTGGCAGGCTGATTTATGATGATTCTCTGAGAGCAAGTCCAACACATGTGAGATGGCCGTCTCCAAGGCAGCTAGAGTCACTGCCAGGTCCTCCCAAGCCTCCTCAGGAGCCCATTGCAATAACAAAGCTGCCACTGGATACCACAAATTAGTTAGGGGCCAATATCTCATGCCTTTCATTCAAATCTGTCTGGGGAACAGACGGCTCCACCACTGGACTTACTGACCGATCCTGCCGAGTACGCCAACTTGTTAAGCCCACCATTTTGGCCAACTGTGGTGCCAGTGTGGGTCCGGTGGAAAATTGAAAGAAAAGCACACAGGGCAGAAGGCAATTACATTTTTATGCAGCTTTGATTGAAAACAATGCTACAGCAGACTGCAGGAGGAAGGAGAGAGAGAGTCAGGTGGAACCGGCCATCCCTGCCTCTTAAAGGAAAAGAACAAAAGTGGCCCAAAGCCAGTTACAAAACAGCCTGGTTCATCATAACATACTGTTACATAAGTGTATTTTGGCATCCAATTGGAGCCTGATGGCTCAAGGCTGCTTCCCGTGGCTACACTTTTAAGGTTGTGCTGTTCCCAAGACAGCGTTCCCAGGGCTGCCCTCCCGCAACCCTAAGGCTGCACGTGTGACTGAGATTATGGTCTCCACACTGATCATCTCTTTATTTGGCATATTGGGGCAAGTGGCCAGATCTAACCTGTGGAATCCCAGGATCTTAAAGCTTCAGTTTCACAATGACTCACTCCCTTCAACTTGGTCCCACCTCCTAAGCCGTCAATTTTTGAACCTATCAATATATTGATCCACTAATGAGGTCAGAGCCCTCATGATTCTATCACTTCCAAAAACCCCACCTCTGATTATTGCTGTGTTGGGGACCTCACCTTCAACACACAAACCTTTTGTAGACATTCCATCTCCAAACTAAACATTACACACTTGGCCTCCAAAGGCTCCTACTCATCTCACAATGCAAATTCATTTAGTCCAAGAGTCCCCATGGTCTTAACAGTTCCAACATTGCTCAAAAGTCCAAGTCCAAAATCTGAGACTCAAAGCAAATGATTAGTTGTGAGCCCCTGCAAAATTCAAAAAGCAAGTTACATACTTCAACATACAATGGTGGGATGGGCATAAACATTCCCATTCCAAAAGAGAGTAATGAGGGGATAGAAAGGAGGGATGGGAATCAAAGCAATATGAAAACCCCACACAGCAAACATTAAATGCTATAGCTCCATGTCCAGCAACTGGTGCATGTGGTAGCTTGATATGAGCTCCAAGGGGTATATGCAGTCCCATCCCTATGGCCTTGCTGGCTGCATCCCATGTGGCATCTCTCTATGGTTGGTTCTGCTCATTGTCTGCAGTTTTTCTCAGCAGATGTTCCATGTTCCTGGTATCCCTAACTTTCTCAGGTCTCCATTACAGCTTTGGTGTCACTCTCACAGTTTCACCCATTGCCTCTCAGGGGCTGCCCACAGGGATTCTGACCCTCCCACACATTGCCTGTCCTTTCTTTGAAATCTTGGAGTAAAACTAGCTCACTAGCCAACAAACACAACTAACCTAGTTTCATTTGCATTAACCAATACTTTATACTTTTTACTTCTCTGACTTTGAGTACCTGGGCCTTCCCTTAACTACTTGCTTTTAGTTGGCTTTAAAACTCACTTAAAAGCTATATATTATTAAAATCTACATATCATTAGTCTCCCACAAGCTCTACTCTAGCTAAGACCTCTGACACGTGGGTTATAATAATTAGCATAGCCTAAATTACTTTTCAGGAACTTGAAAGCCATTTTTGCTAAAACCGCCAACTCTTCACTTGGGCTTATGCAGGTGTCTGGTGGGTGACGTTTTGAAGTCAGAAAGCTGGAAAGTCTACCCTCAGTTAATGCTAATACCACCATTTTCTGATCATATATCTCATAAAGAGCCATGAGGGACCGGGCACTGGTGGCTCATGCCTGTAATCCTAGCTACTCAGGAGGCAGAGTTCATCAGGATCACAGTTCAAAGCCAGCCCAGGCAAATAGTTTGTGAGACCCTATCTCGAAAACACACATTACAAAAAAAAAAGGACTGGTGGAATGTCTCAAGTTGAAGGTCCTGAGTCTACTACAACTTTTGAGTACCACAAAAAAAAAAAATTTAAAAGTGCCATGAGGTTTAATTACATAGGCACACACCACTAATCACTTTCCCACACCCTAAATCACCCTGTTTCTTTCCCCAAAAAGTACCCCTAAACCCCATCCTCAAGGATTTGAAACTGGTGTCCCCATCCATACTCAACTGCCTTGCAAATAAACTCTTCTGCAAAACTTGTCTCAGTGATTGGCATATGTATGGCTGATAAAATGGGCCTGGGCCTGGTTTGGTAATAAGGCAAATGCTTTAACTTTGTACATTAAATCAGTCTGATCTTTCAGAACCTGTCAAAATATAATAATCATCACTATCATCCTCATCATAATCATCTTAGTGAGTCCATCTTTGCATAGTTCTGATCTGTAGAACATGCTTTATTTTAGTTTGTGGCAGAACACATGCCACAAACACTCCCCCAACACCCTCCAGGACAGACCGCCCTTTCTGGAAATTTTCTTGGCTTCTCTCCCAAAAATCCAGGGCAGCTCTCCAAATCTCCATGTACCCCATACTACTTGCTAATGCACATTTTACTTCTTTCACAATTTTCTTTTGGAAATCACACCAGTCCTCCTGCCCACTCATGCTCAGTTAGTGTCTTCCTCTCTCCAAGCATTTGGCAGGGCTTTGGGATCAGCTAAAGGCCCCTCATAGGTGTTTTATCAGCCCAGCCTAGCCTTGCACAGTCATTCTTTCTGCAGTGGAAGCTCACTGCTGGAAGGAGTGGCTTGTGGGAGGTGGCTGCATCTACAGCCTGGGTGCTACACAGCATTCACTTTGTTGCCTCTTCAGGAGTCAGCTGATCCCCTGGTTCAAGCAAGACTAGCACTCAGCCATGATGAGGAGAGGCCTCCAGGTGGCAACAAGACTTGGCCACCATAGAGCTCTTCCTAGGACCCCCCATATCCTGCCCAGACTTGACTTGGCCTCAGCATTTGGATCCTCCACAGACTCCCTGGTGAGTTCCCAACTCAGTAGATGGGCACCCTTTTTTTCCCAGAGCCTGGGGTTTATGGAACACCCCAAATCTCCTCTACCTTGAGGTCCCACAACCCAAGCAGTAGTCCCAACCCTCCAGGACATCATCTTATCACTCTGATTTTCCTGCTCAGGTCTCAAGATTCTGTCCAGAAAAGACAGACTTGAAGGATTATGCCCTTCCCAATGCCAGCTGGGGTCCAGACATGCTGAGTCTATACCAAGAGTTTCTGGAGAAGACCAAGCCAGGCAGCTGGATCAAACTACCCTCCTTCAAGTCCAACAGAGAACATATCCAAGGGCTCAAACTCCCATTTGGGTTGGAAACTACCTCAGGTAAGGCAGAGCCTGGGAGGGCCCAGGGTCACACACAAAGGTCCCCTGCCTGGGACCTGACAGTTCCAAGACTCTCAGGAAAGAAATTCACAAACTGCCTTCCCATTCTCAGCCTAGAAACTCTTCCTGCTGTATAATTCTATCCTCTGCTGTAGATGTGTGTGCACACACACACCGTGCACACACACACACACAAAGGTGAAGGTGACAGCATTGTTTATAGGATCCAGTGGGAGTCTCAGAGTGTCACCCTGGGCCTAGCTAAGCTGAGGCCTGCAGTGGGCAAGGGGGTTTCAGAGAGTTTTGTGGGGTTGGGAAGGAAGGCCTGGAATAAAGGTTGACTGTGAGAGAAGAACCTCCAGGAGAAATCAGAAAGGGCAGGGCACCGAGCAGGCAGTTCTTAAGTAGGAACACACACTCAGCTGGGAAAACAGGCATCCTTTGGGTGTGCTGCCTTCAAATGGGAGGAAGGGAGCCAGAAACCTGAGAGAACACTGTTCTCATTCATATGCATGGTTGGCACAAACAACAGTTTGACATAACAAAGCAGAGGCTACAAAATAATTTCTTTTAAGAATTTGATATTTCCAAAAAAGGGTGTAGTTGAGTAATTTCTTGAGGAAAAAAATCAGAACTTAATGGACTTTCCTGTACTTATTTTGCTATTTCATTTATTTATTTATTTATTTATTTATTTATTTATTTATTTATTTATTTTCCTAGCTTTTGAAGGAATGTTTGTGTGTGTGTGTTACTGGGGTTTGAACCTAGGGCCTTGAGTTTGTTGGGTAAGTGCTCTACCACTTGAACCCCACCACCAACCCAAGTATTGTTGCTTTTAATTATATACAAGTTACATGAGTAATCACATTTTTATTTTATTTTTTGTTTGTTTATTTGTTTGTTTTTATGGTGTTGGGGAATCAAACCCAGTGCCTCACACATTAACAAGGCAAATGTTCTACCACTGAGCCATAATCCCAACCCTAGTAATCGCATTTTAATTGTCAATACTTGCAGGCTTTTCAAGTCCTGACCTGGCCCTGATCCTGTCTCCACCCTCAGTATGGGAACTGTCTGAGACTTTGTCCCCTCCCAGACACAGGCTCTTGCGGCTCTCAGAAGACAGGGACTATGTCTCTGTTCCCATATTGAAAGCTCCCTGAGGGTGGACCCTGGGTGTCCTTTGGTTCTCTCTCCATCTTGTACCAGAGGGTTCAACTGGTACCAGACTCACCTCATGGTGTTGCATCCTGACTAGGCTCCACATCCTCAACACCCTCCCTTCTCCAAGGGAAAAAATGTTTATCTCTCCCCAGACAAAAGTGACTGGCGCATCTTCACCAGGTGCATCCAAGTGGAAGGACAAGGCTACGAGTATGTCATCTTTTTCCACCCATCCAAGAAGAAGTCAGTCTGTCTTTTCCAACCAGGCCCCTACCTGGAAGGGGCTCCAGGGTAAGATCATAGGCAGACCAGTGTGGGCACTTCCTAGGCTTGGCTCAGCAGGGTAGGTCTGGCACCCACCAGACCCCAGAGTCTGCACCTCTCTCTAAGGAGCTAAGATTGGGATCAAGGAACTGGGCTTCAGCCTCACAATGCCAGGCATAGAAGGACATACTGAGTTGTCTAGTCCAGTCTCCATTGTACATGTAAGGGAGAGCCCCCCTACTTAGGTCTTAGACTTTTCCAGTGAGAAAGGGCCTGAGAGACCACTTTGAGAAGGATGTGATGCACGTGAAAGAGGGCGAGATCTGAAATCAAAAGCCTGGATTCCAGTCCTGCTCTGTTGCTATAAACAAATAATTTGACCTCTAGTTTTTTATCTTCTTATCTGAAACCTAGGACAATATCTGCCTGCCCAAGAGAATGACAGGCATGACATTATGTACACAGTGTGTATGTGCTAACGAACCAAAAAGTACAATAAAGATACCATCTACCCAAACCCCTTGTTTTTACCTATGAGAAAACTAAGGTACACAGAGAAATTAATTTGCCCACAGTAGCATGGGCAATCACAGTCAGATCCAGGATTCTAATCTAGGAGTTGGGACTCCAAGTGCATTTCTCCTTCCACTGTACTCTGCTGCTCCAAAGCTGAACTAGACCTAGGGAGAAACTCATACTGGACATAATCAGGCTGGTACCGCATCTGTTGCCTAAGGCCACTGGACCATCAAGTCCTTGGTTGTCTGCCTTCCCCTCTATCCTTTTTCCTGCTCCAGTCACTGAAGGTGGTTGATGGTGCTGGAATTCCTGCAAGGGAGAGAGACCAGAAGGTAGGATCAGCTTTAAGTTTCTGAGGCCTGCAAGGGGCTCAACTGGGGTTAAACAGAATCCAGAATGTCCATAGCCCATAGAGCACTTCTATGGGCTATGGACACAGACTGCAGCCCTCAGTCACCTTGGCCATCCCACAGGTGTCCTTCATGGGGACATTGTTCCTTAAACTAGTACAACAGACATTGAGGAAATAGCTCTGAGCCCTACCTGGGCCATGGATCCCTATCCCTTTCATTCTGAAGAAGAAAACCCCAAGGCTGGGATGGGGTTGATGCAATGGCTGACTTTGATTTAGGACTCATGGTGATGCCAAAGGGGTAGAAACAGACCATCCAGCACTGAGGCCAGTCAATGGATTGAGGAGGACCAGAGAAGAGATTAATGTCTACTGAGCCCCCACACAATGAGTGTAAGAGGGAGTTGCCAGTTGGCCATGAACTACTCTGAAGAATAGATACCTTGCCTGGCCAGCAAGGACAAGGAGAAAAGAACAGGTGTTAGGAGTTGATAGCAACTCCTTTTCCCTCTTTCCAAACACTTTGGGAGTGGAAACAGAAGTGTCTGTAAGTATGCATGAGATTTTACAAACATTTGTTTATTTAATTCAGCAAACTAGGAATTATTTTATTCACAATACACAGTGGAATAACTAAGGCTCAGAAAAGTTTAGCAACTTGCTAAATTAAAAACAGGTAGTGAGTAGTGGAACAAGGAGTCTAACCGTCAAAGGAAGTGGACATGAAGGCCTGTGAAGACCACTGGTGACAGGAGCAAGAAAGTAACTTTGGTAGCACAGCATGAACAGCTGGCCTGAGTCCATGAAGAGTTGTGATTGTACTTTCAAAAATCAGGAACTGAAATCTGTTTTGTGATATTTGCATTTTAAAGTAGAATGTCTCTCTGTTTTCCCCCAACTTAACCAATAATGATGTAGCTTTGGCATAAAGGTCAGCTTACATAAGTGAGAATGAGGGTTTTGCATACTTTAAGTAAAGTAAATGTTTGCAGCAACCTGCTGAAACAGGCTCTTGCCTTTTCCAGGCAGCCCTGCTCGGGAGTCCACCTTGCTGGCACTTTAGATGTCAGAAGTTATGTTTCACATTCACCTGTCTTGAAACTGTGGACCCAGCACTGATTGAGTGACTGGCACAGTGAGAGATAGTGCAAGCTACACTTGAAAGATGAAGTAAAAAATTTCAGGGGATTTTCCATTCTCTGCCTGCATATACCCTTCCAAATTACAGCAATTGCTGATGGCAATTAGGTGATGAATCAGAAAAATATTTTCCATTGACTCTATGAGAGTGGTTACTAACACATGCTGAAGCGAAACAGGAGAAAAAGTTTAGCTGATTTTGACTGATTTGATCACATGGGATGCAGCTCTGTCTCCTTTTCTGTTTGGCTGCCTAAGACTGAAGATCCACATTTGGAGGGTTCTAGGGAAAGGGAGAAGCTTGGAAAGTTTCGTCGCAAGATGAAGGGAGGCTCAATGAGGCAGCCTGCCCAGCTGTGCCAGCCCTAGACTTGTTCTCCATCCTGACCCCCAGGTTTGCCCATGGAGGGTCTCTGGCAGCCATGATGGATGAGACTTTTTCTAAAACTGCCTACTTGGCTGGAGAGGGACTGTTCACACTAAGCCTCAACATCAGGTTCAAAAAGTAAGTATGGATCCCCGGGGCTATCCTGAGCAGTTGAGATGTGCAAGCCCTTTCCCAGCCTCCTCCTCTAGTCCCTGGTCAGAATTCAATCCCTGCCATCCAACTTTGGAAGCTGACAAATGGCTGCTGAGCCCAAGACCACTTATGAGTCCTTGAGGCAGAGTAGGGTGAAGAGAAGAAGGGGGAACAAAGAGTGAAGATATGGGGAGTAGACTAAACTGACTCTTCTCCCAGCTTGATCCCCGTGGGCTCTCTGGCTGTCCTGAATGTCCAAGTGGAAAAAATTGAGGATCAGAAGCTTTATATGTCCTGTGTCGCCCAGAGCAGAGACCAGCAGATAGTCTATGCCAAGTCCTCAGGTAAGGAAGTCCTCAGCCTCAGCAGCCAAGCTCTGGTCTCCCAGAACAAAGGGAAGGGAGGAAGAACACTAAGATCCATTCCTAGGCTGGGATCCATCTTTTTTTAGGGGTGGGATTGGGCACCCGCTACAGATACGGATAAAAGGACCCAACTAGGATTTTTTTCTAAGAAATAGTTACCAACCTATACCACAGGACAGTTACAGGTAATGGGTAATTTGGACCAAAATGTTCCATGCACTTGAGAAAGCTCCTGTCCTCAATGTCCTGGCTGTTCACATTCAGCTCATCCTTCTTGACCCTCAGTTCACTCTTCTCTTATAGGTATTTTCCTTCAGCTGCAGCTGGAAGAAGATTCAGCCCAGTAGCAGTCACTATGACTTCTGCAGAACTAACCTTGATAGCCCTGCCTGCAAGGGACTCACCACACAGCAGGAGGGTCCCCAGGAAGCAGGTGGCATGTGGGGGACAGACAGGGCACTTTCTCTGAGTAAATAAACTCTCACTGTCCCACACTCAGCCCAAGATCCTTCTGTAATGGGACATCAAAATCCTTCCAGGATTTCCCATTCACCCTCCCATTCAGAGTTCAGAGATTTACTGAGTTCCTGCCAGGTTCCAGTCACCTAGCACACAGCAATGAAAGACAGGGCTTCTGGCCTCAGGACAGACAACTGGGGCCTTCCACCCCACCCTGGCTTCTATCAGGAGCGCACTATGGGTCCATTTTACTCTCTGAATATAATGAGAAAAGCCTTTCTAAAGGAAGCTGAGCCTAAAATGAGTCTCAAAAGTTAAGTGGTACTCACCAGGCAGAAGGGGAGGGCAGTAAGTCCAGGCAGAGGGAACCTTAAGAACAGAGGCACAGTATCATGAAGAAGCTCAAGAAGTTTGGAAAACTACAAAGCATTGAGTAGGGCAGGAGTTTAAATAAAGAGAAGGTGGGCAGGGCAGGGGCAGGCCATGGGAGGCTTCAGAATCCTCACTATGGAGTTTGACTATCTTATAGACAACAAAAACTACAAAGGCTCTGAGCTGGGGAGTGACATAATGTTCTGTTCTTTATAAAGATGACTCTGGAGGCAGGAGCACTGGTTAGGAGACTCCTGCAGGGCTGTACCGTCCTTACTGGACAGTAAGGGCTGCATGGGTCAGAGCAGTCAAGATGAGAGCTGTGGGAAATGCGGCAAAAAAAAAAAAAAAAAGTTCGGGACTTTCTTACTAATTGTATGTAGTAGATGTGTGAAGGACAGCTGTCTAGGATGACTCCAAGTTTCTGACTTTGGGGATTCCAGATGGTATTATTGGAAACACAGAAAGAGCAGGTGTGAAACAAAGGAGAAGAATGAGCTCAGTTGTACATGCATTGAATTTGAAGTGCCATGGAACCTCCACCATGTGGGAAGCACCAACAGGATCCTGGGTATTATGACTTGGAGCTCAGGAGAGATGAGCTACTGACTCAATTTGTGGGATCAATTTAAAAACTCACACCTGTAATCCTAGCTACTCAGGAGGCAGAGATCAGGAGGATCACAGTTCAAGGTTAGTCTGAGCAAATAGTTTGCAAGACCCTATCTTACAAATACACAACACAAAAGAGGGCTGGAGGAGTGGCTCAAGTGGTACAGCACCTGCCTAGGAAGCATGAGGTCCTGAGTTCAAGCTCCAATACCACAAAAAGAAAAATGAATGGGAAATGGAATGTAGGTTTTTCTTTCTAGGAATTTTGTTGTTGTCATTGTTACTCAAAGAAAGAGATTTGACTGCATTTATAAATTGATTTGGAAAGAGCTAGTAGAGAGGCTTAAACCTCTAGGTGGGAGAGAAGTGTCATCCAGCAGAATAGCTGTCTGGTCTTAGAGATGAATCAAAAGTACATGTGGAGATAGGAGTGACAGGAGAGCATCAATGTGATTCTGAGACCAAGAGGCAGGAGGTAGAGACAAAGAGCAGGACGAGAAGTTAAAGGGATACACACCAGACGGCTTTAGCTTTCTCAGTGAAATGACAGGCAAGGCCTTCCACGGAGAAGGAGCCCTAGAGAGAGAAGGATGATTTGGAAAGCCTCTGTTGGGATCAGGAATAAAACTGACCAAGCACAAGTGTGACCTAAACATGCTGGCAGCCCCACTGCTAGAGGAAAACAGGTATCTGGAGTGACACCAATCTGAGTGAGAGGAAGATGGGAGCCAGCTGGCAAAACTCAAGGACAATGGTAGATATCCAGGTTAGAACAGGAGTAAAGGCAGAAAGAGGGCAACATGGCTGGTGCAGATTTTTAAGGAGAAAAGGTTTGCTGTGATGGAGAACAATGGAATGGAGGAGGCAATGACCATCCAAGAGAAGCTTGTTCCTCCTCAGTACCTGGGGAGTAGAGAGGTGGGAAACTGAGCAGCTTCTGTAGGGAGGACTGCATGAGAAGAGAGCTCCTGTCTTGGGATAGTCAGAATTGCATTAAGGCTAATAGGTGGAAATAATGTTCAGGAAGAGGTCAAGATCAAGAAAATTTCTAAATGCCATATTAGAAAGGATTTTCCTATTATGTATGGTAAAGTCAAATGCTGAAACACACAAGTTTTTAAATATTTATAGCTTTGCCAGGCACTGGTGACTCACACCTGTAATCCTAACTACTCAGGAGGCAGAGATCAAGAGAATCATGGTTCAAAGCCAGCCCAGGCAAATTGTTTGCAAGACCCTATCTCAAAAATACCCAACACAAAACAGGGCTGGCAGAATGGTTCAAGTGGTAGAGCACCTGCCTAGCAAGCATAAGGCCCTGAGTTCAAATTCCACTACCACAAAAAATTTATTTTTTTCCTATAGCCTCACCCATATCTTCAATAGAATGTACTTCTCACTCGTGTAAATTCCAGTTAGTGGTGTTGAGGAGTCATTCAGGTACTTGGCTGACAAAAGCTCAGCCATCTTCAACACATGACTTCCAAAGTCATACTGGGTGATGGCATCCAGTGACCAAATAAAAGAGATGAGAATCCACACAGGAGGTGTTTTGGAGGCAGGTCTCAAAGTGGTTCCATCAGCTATAATTCAATCATCAGGCTCCGCAGTCCAAGTTTGATGGGGAAAATATTGTCTAACTAGCTGTATGTTGGAGAGAGGGAAATGGGTTTAGTGAGTAGCTAGCAGTCCATGCCTTAATTTGAGGGGAGTCAGTAGAAGGAATAGTCTATGCCCAGACTCTTATCCTGCCAAGTGAAGGATTTGGCTTCAAGCCTTAGCTGGTATTGAGGATCTGGAGCTGGGACTGGAGATTCAGAGAGAGAACAATATCCTTTGCAGCCTGGAACAGGGCCAGAGGGTTGTGCACAAACTCAGCAGTGATGAGAGAGGTGGACCTTTCCAATAAGTAGGCCACAAGCTTCTAAGTGATTAATCTCAAATGATGGACAGAGGATAGGTAGTCATGGATTTGAAGGGTCTTGACCCATTGTCTCCTAAAGGGTAGAGACATACTGAAGCCACAGCCAGAAATGTTTTGACAACCAACTGTCCCCTCCCCCATATACTCACATCAAAACCCTTTCTCCTTTGTACTTTCACAGTTGCCCTTGATAATCTGTTAAACCCAGAGTCTAAATCAGTGTGTATAAAAAACTGGTTGCCTTCTGTTCATGGTCAAGGAGAGCCTAGTCTTCATTCAGACTCCCCCAGCAGAAGAGAAATATATTTCATCCTTTTATGTAGTTTAAAAAGCAGGGGCGGGGCGGAGGGGGGACAAGACAGTTGTGTTGTGTTTCCAGAAGTGCATCCTAGCACTTCTCTATGGGGGCCAGTTTTTAACAGAAATCAAGGCAGAGCGGAAATCTACAGAGATGGGAACCTCTCAAGCAAGGCCCCAAAGCCAGGGAGGATCAGCCTTGACTAGGCAAAACTAGCTGGATAGGCAGGTATCTTGCAAAGGAAATAAGGCCATCAACTGCTAGGACACTTCTCTAGTGTATAGAGCTCTGACTGATGGAGGTCTCCCACAATGCCAAGTTTGGCAGCTATCTGGATAAAACAAGGGAAGATGCCACCTCCACATTTACAAACCCATTGCCATGTACAATGCATTTATCTGGAATGAAGCTACTGCAGAGGTAGATGGGGTAGAATCCAGGAGGCAATTCAGGCACATGTGATAGCTTATTCTGCTTAAAGCAGAGGGTATGTAGTCTCCAAATGCCTAAGGCAGGCGCCAAGAGAAACCAAACAGTGCAGATGGCCATTGCAAAATCAAGCAATTCAAGAAGGCAGAGGACCTCGGTATCTCATATCAGCTGTTAAAGAAGGGGCCCTAAGGCCTTCCTGGAATTGTGACTACAGAGCTAAGTCATTCATTACAGGTCCAGGGTCACAATCCAGAACTGTAAGACACAGCTTATGACCAACCCCATCACCCTCCAGAGGTGGGTGCAATGAGCACTGCTGGCCAAGCATGCTGCCTGAGGCCATCACTCATGACCTCAGAATATATAGCTTATCAAGACCCAAAAACCTAGGGAGCCTTGTAGCAGTTGCCTGCCAACTGGAAGAAAGGCCTGTTCCCTCTCTGCCTCTTCCATCTGGTGGGGACTCAGGAAAGCACTATGTACAGCCCAGTTCTCTAAGTGTTCTTCTACAATGGTACCAGCAAGAGCAAGGAAGTCAGGACCATCAGTCCTAGAAGTTGCTATGGTTTTAATATGTTTTGTTCCCTCTGAAACTCATGTTGCAATTTGATTGCCATTGTGGTGGTGTTGGGAAGTGAGGCCTTTAAAAGGTGATTAAGTCATTAAAAGGAATTAATGCCTGTGTCTTGGGGGTGGGTTTTTTCTCTTGAGAGCAGGCTGTTATAAAGTGAGGATACTCCTGTTCTCTCTCCTCTCAATGTTCCCTCTTGTTCTTCCATTTTTCCACCATGCTATGATGCAGCACAAAACACTCCTGGGTGCCACCACCATGCTCTTGAATTTCTTAGTCTCCAGAACCATGTACCAAAATAAACTTCTATTCTTTATAAATCACCCAGTTTTAGGTATTCTGTTATAGCAACAGAAAGTGGACTAGGAAGTTGTAAAAAGAGTGTTAGAAATGGTTCTGGGAAAGCAAGGAGACAGTACTTGGGTCCTCATTTAAGGAAGCAGATCTCTCCAATGTAAGACCCTTAGGGTACAAGGGGTTCAAGAAGGCAGAGGACAAACCTCTTTAAGAATTGTCTGGCTCTTTAAGGTAGAAAATTGGGCTTCTAGTCTCAACTCTGCTACTATTTGGCCTATCATTTCTTCCTGGGTCTATTTCCTGCTCTGTAAAAATGAAGGTGGGTGACATCCAACTTCCTTCCAGGTCAGGTATCTTACCATTCCAAGTGAACCAACTTTTGGCTACCCATTTGCCAAACATTTG